CTTGTTATGATAATACAATATATTTAACTATTTTATCAAAAAAATTAAATAAAAAAGAATATCTTAAACTCGTAAACACAATTTCAAGTTTAATAAGTTCCTCAATTTAAAATCCTTCTTAAGGAATACGGAATATATTTGCGTGATCTTATACTTGTTTAATTAAAAAAATGCCTTCAAATACATATGTTTATTTGTATTCAATTTTCCACAAAACATATTTAGCTTATTTTAAATGAAAATAAAAAACAGAGAATAAAAACACTGTTGAAGAGAAAATACATATTCGTGTTAAATTCGCCTCAGTTTAATTTGTTAATTCAAGTTTGACATCTAAAATCTTAATCCGCAATCCACATTTACCCGACAATCTTGTATATTGTATTTTCTCAGTTCATTCTCATTTATCCAACTTTTTAAAATTATAGGTAGTACAGGTAAAAAAAAAGTTGGATAGATGAGATCAAAGGTAATCAAGAACAAAGGGTTTTTTAATTAGAGTTTGGGTTGAATGACAGGTGAAAAATAAGACTGAAAATTATACCCTGATTAAATTTTCTGTAGTATTATTTAGCATAGCATGTTAAAATGTGCAACTGACATTTCGTTAATGTAATGTAAATCATTTGAAAGTATTTCTAAGTTTTTTAACCTTTAATTAAAATGTGAATTGGATAGAAAAATATCAGTTGCACTTTTATTCATGAAGAGATTTGTCAATGAGATGGAGCTTTTTTTTGTGTAATAGATCCTCTTCGTTCATTTTTTTCTGTTCTTCTGACCAAATGATCCAAATGGGACAAAATATGAGTTGAATATGTTTTACTACACAAAGACTGAACAGAACAAAATTCACGCAACATATATACATATATATATAAACAAAAGCAAAAGCAATTCAAGCAAAATGGTTATAAAATACTGGCACAGAAATATCAATAGCACACCGTGACTAAATGAATGCTCAGTAGATTCACACAACATACAATGGCACTAAAGAAATGTTCAGTAGATACACACATCATACATTTTTTTAAATAGTAATGCAAGCACAATGGTTAAAAAACGTAGCACAGAAATATCCATATATAGCACACACTAAAGGAATGTTCAGTAGATCTTCATCCTAGTTTAAGTAGGTGGGATACTGCATCAGTGTAGTGATATACATTGATCTGTCCTTGCTGTAGTCTATCCTTAAGTTGGGTCAGTCTGTTGTCTATGTTGCGGTACTTTTACTTACGAGTCTTGCGTTTTCCCCCTGTGGCGTTCTGGATGAGTCGTATTTCTGTGGCAGCCTGTGTATTCTGATTATCATAATAAAAATAAACACAAGCAAGTGACACAATACGTTATTTTTAACGCATAACACTTACAACCACAGATGAAAAAACAAACAAAAAAAGAAAAATATAACAAACATACAGTATTTTTCTTTTACTTAAATTAGATATAAAAGTACAGGTCAAAAACCAAAGTCTCAATCATTAATAGAAGTTAATTTTCAAAATACTAGTAACACTAAATTCTTTCTTAATTTGTTTTCGATTTAAATTTATTAAAATAAGTTTAAAAAAGTATAGGTCAATAAGGCACACTACCTCAAAGGAAAGATAGTCGCCTTTAAAGTAATATATAATATATATTTATTTTTCTAATTTTGTATTTTTAATGGACTTTTTTTCTAAAGTTAAATCTTACTAATATAATGGACTCATTCCAAAAAGTTAGTTACCAGGGCGCAATTACCAGTTGGTAAGCCGTCCACCAAAAACATATAACCGTAACCATTTATTGTTATGTTATAACTTGCACCTACAATTTAAACAAGTAACAAAGACAGTCATATATACTTTCATAAAATTTTAATATAAAAATATTACTGATTTTGGGGTTTCTTCTGTATAAATGATGAAACATTTATTTATTATCTAAAATATACTAAATTTTATTTAAAAATAAAATGTAACAAGTTTACTATCGCCTATTTTATATATTTTTTTTAAATAATATAAAAACATACAGGAACAAATTTACTGTCAAATTTTAGAAAGACACCTTATTATAACTAAACAAACAACCCAATAATTAACAAAAATAAAAAGTTGGCTAAATGAGAATACCTTATTTTAAAAAGTTGGATAAATGGGAAGACACCATTTTCTCAATGGAATAACCTTACGTGCACGTGACCATCAGAAACGAAGACAAAAATTATATTTGTAATGGTATTTATCAAAACTTAAATGTTTGAATATTTAGTAGAATATGAATTTGCCAAATAAGCGAAGAATTATAATCTTGCATTGTTCAACATTGGAGAAATGACTCAAGTTGAACATTAATCATGTTAATACTGATTCAATATTTTATTATAGTCTCACCACATACAAACATAAAACGAGAATCACAGAAATAAACATAAAACATTAAAACATTTGCATTGTATGTACCAATCTTAAAAAGAATAATGAGAGACTTTTAAGACACACTATATTTACTCATTTACATTTAAAATGTACAGTGTCCACCTGTACTATATGAAAATAAAACATTTTTTCTTTGAGAACTAGGAAATAAAATGCCGTTTCTTTTCAATGAAATATTGTTGATGTTTTGGCAACTATAGCAGCAACATTGCCGTTATTAAATAAACATATAAATTTTTCGCTATCTGATAATTAAAGGTTAAAATGTTCATTAAAATGTTTAGCTTAATGTATCATAATTTGTCTTAAATCTACATATAATGGGCATTTTAAAATGACATGAAGTTCATCTCCAATAGTAGAGCTACAACACATGTCATCTCGTGGACTTCTTTTCTTTCATACTTTCCAGTTTCCATTTTTAGTGGAGCTACCCCACATCTAAATTTTGCAAAAGCACTGTTGTTTTTAATTGGCGGAATATTTTAAAAAAAATAACAGTTGGCCAACAGTATATTTTTAAGCCCATTTTGCTCAGTTGAATAGAAATTCCAATTTTAACTGTTCTGTCGTAGAAATGTCATCATGTTATTGTTTATACGTAGAACATGTATCATTATATTATTAAATGTGTCAGTCCCAGCCAAGATTCACTGAATAACCACGAAATGTTTACAGATGATAAATAAATTTTACACAAAAATTCACGAATCTGTATGAACGTTACGTACGATGAAGTTAATTAAGTGTTCACAAGAAAGTAAGTATGAATGTAAATTTTATTTAAAGTCGGAACATATATATACACTTTAACCGTGAGATAAAATATAAGCTTTGATGAGCTCTATAACCGACTATCATATAAAAACCGCAATGAATGAACGTTACCCGATTAGAGATGAACGTTTGACAAATGCACGTTATCTGATGTACACAGTTATACACGATTGACGAACGTACGATACACGGTTAAGAATGAATGATTGATGAACGCACGATACACGCACGATACACGCACCATACACGATTAAGAATACACGATGCACGCACGTTACACGAAAAATACACAGAACGATGAATGATGAGCGCACGATTGGTACACGCACGATACACGCACGCAACACGCACGATACACGATGAACGCACGGAATAAGGGTCAGTTTGAATTTTAGAAGGTCTGTAGCTCTCAAATGTTTGGGTACCTTTTGGTCACATAGCTATCAAATGTTTGGGTGCATTTTGGTCACATAGCTCTCTCATGTTTGGGTTTGAGTGTTCCTGGTGAAGGTTAATCCAGAATAGCGCTTGGTACGCACATTATTATTAGTGTAATTTTTAACATATAATAATCACTTGTCCATTGGAAAAGTTATTTTTAATATTTAGTTACAGTTTATATTTGATGATAAGTTATTATACATATGCAATGAACAGAACATAAGCTTCAAATGTAGAGACAGATTCTTCCTGAAAATTCTTAGTTTGACATTTGACATTCAATTAGTTACTATTTGTATATAATCATGTTAAGTCGTGATATTTTGGCGTGTTAGCTGTAACAACATTATCTCTTAAAATCCTTAAATCAAATGTTTGTATCGTCATATATCCCTTTATGATTTCAACCTGAAACATTTGACAAATCACAGATCTTATCGTGTTATAATTCAATCTCTGTTGTCGTCAGATGCTTTCTTGTCGATTATAAAAAATTAAGTTCCTGATTAAAACTTATTTTACGATGACCATAAAGTTCGAAAATAAAAGCATTCCTCTTAAAGTAATGATAGATAAACTCGACGGGAACTTTATTGTCTTGGCAAAGCTCGAAATACAAATACTGAAATACACCATCAAATTATATTTATTCCACAGTCAATTCAAATCAGATACATATGTGGACAAAAAGTCACGACATGAGACAGTGGTATAATACAATTTTATGTTCATTGAGTTGGTTTAGTGTCAAGAGAATAATTTTGCAAATTGAGAAAGTTATAGCTTCAAAATTTCTAACAAAAGTAACGGTTTGAATTTATACATGATTGAATACTATGAAGATAAATCAGACTAGCATTTTTGCTGCATATTGGTTATTATAATTTCTTGAAATAAATAAAGAAGTGTGTTAACAGGCAATGTATGTTAGTTTGTGTAGTGTGTTATTGGTTGTTTGTTATTGACTTATACGCCACATCTCCATTAATTCGTGTTTAATTTACACACAGAGTTTATTAAGTTTGCATAAAATGAGAAGATGCGGAAAAAGACAATTCAATCTTGTTAATTTTGCGAAAGGTTGCCGTAAGGATTTACAAAATGTTAAAGAATTACAAGCTTAAATAAAAATACCTTTCTATAAAACTTCTCGACAGTTTTGAAGAGGGGTAAGAACTGACTCTCAACAGTACATTGGTAATCATACAAAACCTCATTATAAAGCTTACTATAGGATATGGGTTTTGCTTGTAATTGAAGGCACGGTAAGGCCACTAGATATGTCCAAAGTGAAAACGACAATATCTTTTTAAATTTGATATTAAATTTGATCTTTTATCATTAATTTTTCAGCGATGGACAACAGTGCGTATGACGTCATATCGGGAGATGCAGAGTTATATGGACTTGATAAAAGATATAAATGGAAGTAAGCTCTTACGTATAAAATAGAGAAATATCATGGCATTGTTTTCAACTTAATTATTATGAATAGTTTTCCAATAATAATCTGAAGTGTAGTACATCCAGCTCATTACAGACAGCTTGGAGAACAAATTAAAATGTCTCTGTGAAGACATGGTCAATTTTGTATTCGTGTCTTTCATTTTTGCTTATGTACTTTGTCTATAGAGTGTCTACATGCTATTTTGCTTTTCTTTGTTTGATTAGTTTTGTTTTTATATTGATTAAGATTATATTAAAATGTTGACTGCTGTACGCCAATTTTTTGACATTTTTACGTATCATGTCTGTTTATTTTGCTCACACATTGTTGTCAATATAAGGAATTCTATGCGACTGTCATAAAGTATGAGGTTTGGCTAGCTATAAAACCAGGTTTAATCCACCATGTTCTACATTAGGAAATGCCTGTACCAAGTCAAGAATATGAAAGTTGTTTTCCATTCGTTTGATGTGTTTGAGATTTTGATTTTGCCATTTTATAAAGGACTTTCCGTTTTGAATTTCCCTTGGAGTTCGGTATTTTTGTTATTTCACATTTTTTCAATATTACTCCCCAATTTTGTGTAAACTGGTTTGATGCAACGTGAATAAAATTGAGAATAAAAATAGGGAATGTGTCAAAGAGACAACAACCCGACCAAAGTGCAGAAAACAGCCCAAGGCCACCTATGGGTCTTCAACACAGCGAGGAAATCCCGCACCCGGAGGCGGGCTTCAGCTGGCCCCTGAACAAAAATGTGTCCTACTTCAGTGAAAATGGACGTCACACTAAACTCCAAAACATCTAAATGAACTAAAATTGAAAAAACATTCAAGACTAACAAAGGCCAGAGGCTCCTGACTTGGGACAGGCGCAAAAATGCGTCGGGGTCAAACATGTTTTGTCAAACATGCGTTTCTTATACCGAGTAAATCGATTGATTGATTCTCTTTTACCAAACGCAAATGGCAAATATTTCATAAACATTTGGAACTAGTGAATAGATTAAGGTTATCAAGTGAAATCATACAAACAAATAACCTCCATCAAATGTGGACGGAAAAGACAGAGCTATTCTTAACTTAAAGCCACTAATCGTTAGTGTACATACAGCTGCACTTGTTTATGGTTTATGGTCTCCAACATAACCTGTTCTTACTGATGGAAATGGAATAACAGTTAGATTTAAAAAAAAAAAAAAAAAAAGAAAAGAAAAGAATTATTTCTCGACCTTATACCGGACTGCTTGGCCTAGTGTTAGGAAAATAAGATAATTGCTGTAAGCAAAGCAGGATGTTCCGCCAGTCTCCAGCATATAATTCTTTTTGGAGACTAGTGTTGTATTTTTTATCGGTTTCAAACGCCCGACTTTTTCTGAGTTTGTTTTTTTCTGACATTTCGTCCCATATCTTTATTTTTGCACCTTTGCTTAACATATATGATAATTAAGTGGAATCACTAGGTTAATAAAAACTGAAGTTATGGGAAAAAACTGCTGTAAACAAAATACATCACTATTTCTTTAAAGTTCCATGTGTGAATTTAGGAGAAATTTAAAATGTCATTTGTCATTCTCTTCGCAGTAAAATAAGCTAGTACTATTTCAACTTGTAACAATGAATTATATCCGTGATCATACATTTTAATGTTTTCCAATAGATAATCTATATAACTTTCTGCACAATTTCTTTAAGACGAACATTAACGTCAAATATCTGTCAGAACGAGGCTTTATTTTATTGATTACATTTTATCCTTCATTACACCGAAATTAATAGATGACTTCACTCAATCTTTTTTAGTTTTGATCTTATCAAGAAACAAATATATGGAGTGTGTTAAAGAAAAAAAAAGTATATTGGTCTTTAAGCAGTCAAAATGACATATCAAAATTCAAAGTACGTGTATATAGATGTCAAACTATATTAGTATTCTCTGAGACTGTACAAATCTATGACTCTTTTCACAAAACAATCGTATGATTAAATCAATGTATAATGTATTTTTGTATAACATACAATAAATTTCAACCGTTAGATTTTTTGGAAAAATAGCCGCTGCATTTGAAAAGAAATTCGTTACGATAAAAAGATAAGCATACTATTGATAGTTTTTTTATATTTGTTTTCTTATCTACTTGAAGAGTGACTTGTTCATAAATTTCCACGCCCCTGCTTATATATTAGTTGATTGTAATGCTAAATAAAATATGATTCAGCATTTTTGCAAAACGATACTAAAATTCTGCAATTAGAAACTGTTTCTACGTTTGTTTTGACATTTCATTACCATAACTCCAAAGTAGTTTTATTTCTAAAATAAGACTGCCTTTATTTTTGTATAAAGACTCAATTATCGGTATTACGACCCGAAGTTCTTTCAAGATTACTGAGTATTATCAGCTGACCACAAAACCACTCTCATTTCATTGTAACTAAAATTGGTATAGAAAAACCTAAGCATCTTGAGACAATTACGCGTAAACAGCTTGTGAAAATAACATATGAGAACGGATTTATTTCATTTAATGGCGGATTACAGAAATGATGCTCATTTTAGTTCGTCAAGATATTTGTTACTGCTGGAGTTAATAAAATGACTTGCGAAGAAACAAGGGAACTTAATTTCACTGTAAATGCTAGTATAGACAATGCATAAAAATGGTATAGTTCATTGGCATTATACGAACTTGAGACTTTTAATCTCAGTGTTATACATGAAATGAAGCGGTTTTTCAGGGTTTTTACCTTTCAATTCTCCTGTGTAAGATGCCTTGTTTATTTCCATACTTTTTAAATCTCTTTTAATAAATTTGATTTTATCACTTTCGAAATTAATTGATAAGACTTTGAGTTTGTTTATTTTAAAATTGTTTATCAAAACCGTGTATTCGGGATCTACAAGACTTATATAAGCGAATTTTGCGCAAATATACAAAATAAATCTACAACGAACAACTGTCATTTAAACTACCAGATGACTGGTTGTTAACAACTGTCGTTTAAACTGCCAGATGACTGATTGTAAATAACTGACAATTCCGGAGATCAGGATTTGTATTTCATTTAAATAATAGATTTAAAAGAAGTCTCAATAGTTTCGATGTGGAACATTAATCTGCACTTACTTATTGAAATTTAAATTTATTCTATGTTATTTGTTTCCATGAAAAGCTTTAATCAGACCGCTGTAACATATTTTATTTATTCCTTGTTTTTATTCAATTCAATTTAATTTTTTATTGGAAAGAGCACAAGCGAGGCGTGATCCAACTACAGATACATTTGTTATATTAAAATTTTGTCTTTGGCATGAATTGCCAAAGACAAAATTTTAATATAACACATTTAACAATTACATCTAATACAAACAAAATAACTGAAAAAACGTGTCTTGTTAATTTACAAATGATTCTTAACCGAGGGAACTTGCAATGTGTTTTTCGTATGACTTCTCTTTGATATCTCGTATAATTTTCCTGCAAGTAAATCCATTGCTAGTTAAATAATATTGCCCAGAAACAAGGAGAGGTTAAGATTTGTTTTAATGACGTTATGGTCAATTGAAAATTGTACCACTGTAATAAGATTATTCCTTTTATTTGACCAGCTTTCATTAATTCAAAGATTAAAGTTTAAGTCTTTCATAAGTTTTCAAGTTTTTGTTTTGTTTTGTTTTTTAGATTTTTCTTTCATTTCTTCTTTTTATGTAAAATTGTATTGTTATCTTTATTAAAATAAGAAAATGTGGTATGACTGTTAATGTGACAACTCTCAATCAGATACCAAATAAAGTAGTAGTTAGCAGCCATACTAGGTTTGTCGATATCTAATATGAAATCATTGCTTCTGGTCTACAAGAGACTATACATGAATTAGACTAAGTGGAGCAGGTGCAGGACATCGTCTAATGAAATACATAGTAATACAAATCTGTATACTTCACATCGGAAACAGAATTCTAGTCTGTTTATTTATCAGCCTGTATCATCTGTAATTATAGTTTCAAGACACACACAAACAGATATATTACATGATAAGAAATTCAAGTAAACACTACTCTTTCTAATTAGCTATTATCAAGAACAAATGACCATATATATTTCATTATGAGAAATTATAGAAAACACTCTTCTTCAAAAATCAGCCTTTTCCGAGCTACTATATAGTGATATTACATTATTGTCCGTTTTACTTTAACGCAGCTATCATTTCCAGCAATGTGAAAGCGAGTCTCGGAATGACGATCTCTTAGATGTTTTTGATTCTTGTGTTGCTGTCTCATAGACGTATACACAGCATGTTCTTTTATTCATAGATTTCTGCACTCATTTGTTCCCGTCTGGTAATTGAAATGGGAAAGTTAATACTGGCATATCTATATAGTACTAGGATCTACAAACACGAGGCAGGGTCACCAACATGGAGACAAACAATGAAAGCGATGTTTCGTTGTTTGTTCTTTCCTAATATGTTTATGAGTTTGTTATCTCAAGTACATCCAGATCATAACATTACCAATTCTTTCCGGATTAAGCTTCTTACTTTATTTGGAAGCAGTTAAGCGTGACCCTGCTAAAATTATTCTGTTTAGTTCCAGTCCTACTTTGATATACACTTATATATTTACTATCTTTTTTAGATGCAACGGTTGGTTTAAATGGAGATGTGGAAATTCCAAAATGGTTCACAGAGAAATTCGAAACATAGACTCAGATTAATGTTTTTGTTATTATAACTATATGAAGCCATCGCTCTCTACAATTTACATGCTCTAACGTCATTTGATATCATACTAAATCCTGCTACATTTGTACTTAAAGAACTATGTAATATATCATTGTTATATCTCTGTATTGTCTCTGACTTTCTACCTGAATAAAACATATCTTATATTTTTGTGGGTTCATCATGGGTCATTGAATATGTTCTTGATATTTGTAAGAACGACGAGTTTCCGAATAGAAGGAGTTAAATGCAAATTGCCAAGAGAGAACAGACATATATCAACAGTATAGATTATATTTAAGAAATAACAGAAAAGGTGTTAAGGACAGTGAAATCAATAAAAGCAGTAAACAAAAGTGTAAAAAAACAGCTAACAAACGCTTACTGAATTCTTGGGACTGTAAATATTCAGACCTTCGAACGCCATTGAGTTTGATTTTGGTATTCTTTAATCAATAAATCATATCAAGTATTTTAAAATATGAACACTTAAATGCGTGATTAATAGATTTACATTAAATATTATCCATTCACCTCTGAAATAGTAATACAATATTTTCCCGAAAAAATCACTACACGGTCTTCAACAATTCCAGACAAATGTTTTATTGGTACTGTATGAGTTAATCTCTTTGCATCTATTCCCGATCTTCTTAGAACGCTACTATTTTTGCATAAGTGCAAAAAAAGAAGATCACTTTGGAATAAGAAATGCGCTTGTACATGTATAATGCAACGGAAGAAAGCAAAATAGTACAAACAGAAATGGTACAAATAACCACCTTCTCTTTATCATATTATAATCCTATTGATTGTGTGGGATGTATACATACGCAGTCACGTTCGGCCTTGTCGGGATGGGGACATTAAATTCAATGCCTTGTGGTTATAAATAGTGTGCCACGCTCATGTACGTTAAAGAACCTTTTCAGAAACTTCGGTGGTAGCCTGTTTCGCGCGAAATATCTGCCTCTATCCAAGAAAACATCCAACATGGATTCTTTGTTTAGTGGCAGGCTACATTTCCCGCCTATCCAGGTCGACCAACTTGCAGAACCTTATTCATTTATTGTATATTTGGTCTCGACGTAAATGTGTATTTGTTCTCGACGTAGATGTGTATTTGTTCGCGACGTAGATGTGTATTTGTTCTCGACGTAGATGTGTATTTGTTCTCGACGTAGATGTGTATTTGTTCTCGACGTAAATGTGTATTTGTTCTCGACGTAAATGTGTATTAAATATTTGCCACTCCACCAATCAGTCCTTATTCTTTATGCGACAATGTTGAGAGATGATTATTATTTTTTTTTTATGTGGTATTTACTTACTTATACCTTATATACCGTTGAAACTTAATCGGTCAATGGTCGGATGTAACCGAAATAATTTAGATTCTTATATTCCAAAAGCATAATTTACTCCTAGAAAATGCCAAATTCAGAAGGTCAACCTCGTAAAAATGTTTCAGAAAATGATAATGTAGGGAAGTTGTGGCTATTTGTTGATACTTTAATAACGCTTTATTGCTTTACTAATAAATTTTAATTTCAGCTATTTTAGAGGGATAAAAGATGTATCCTTTACAAACTGTTTGAAGTGTATGATATAAACACGTTATAATTTCGTGTGAGTAAAGCGTTTTCTAGATTTACCTTCATCAAACACGCTCAAACCTAAATATTCGAAAGCCAGGGATACGCTTCAAGTTTAGGAGCTATATGACAGAAAGTTGATTTTAATAAAACATCTCCAGGAAGAGATTTGGCTCCGCTTTTTATCACAAACTTTAGTGAACACTATCTGGTTAAGGTTATCTCCCTTGAACTGGACAGAAAAATAAAAAGAAAGAAGTATAATGTCTAATAAGTTTAAAATTCATAAACAACTATATCTTTATATATAAAATGTCCTCAGATGTGACTCGTATGTCGTATTATATTACCTCTTCATTTATTTTTTTAAAGAAATAACGGTATTTGTACAAAAATTTGAACCAAAACTTACTTAAAATCTATTACCATAATTAGATGACAGAGATTGCAGTCCCGGAAATTCGATATTCACGGTTAGATAGTTCTCTTGTTGTCAGTTAAGAAGTCTGCTACCCAATGATCTTTGCAAGATTGAAGAATGTATAGAAAATCATGGCTGGTAGAAGCAAACACAGGCAAATTAAAACATTCTGCAAAATCCCGTGAAGATCAAACGAATACCAAAACCGACTAGGGTAAATCGTGTTTATTGGGTTGGAGATTGATATAAATAAAAGGAGGTGTTTGATATACGTCAATGAGACACTATAATTACACAACAAAGTTGTATTTACTTACAGTACAAATTAGGAGCTACAAATGACCTAAATTAAACCACACAACTAGAGCAATTTACATGTGCAGTCTTCAAAAATAGACAGTTGTCTTTACAACATACCAAGCTCTAGGTCTCTTAGTCTATAAAAGTTGTTAATAAATTTCATTGAAACGGTTAGGTTTATCATTTGTTTATTCAAAATACACTCAAACACAAATTTTATGCGTAACAGAAGCAATAAATACATATATATTTACAAATAACATAGAAGAGAAATAAGTAAAATACAAAATATCAAACAATGTAAATATTTTTTTACAAAACTAAATGTGTATTGTAATGTATTGGCCAGATAGCAAAAGTTCCGTGCATCCTGTAAAGTAAATGCCATCAACACCAGTATCGAAATTAACACAAAGAATGAAAAAATACTAACAATAAAAGAGTAAACACATGAATATATGATCCAAGAAACCACCGAGGATGGTACTGATTTTGAACGTCATGTGGCGGGAATAAACTACTTTTTTTATATCCAATTCTTGCACTTTTAATCTCGACCAGTCATACGTTGTATACTTCCATGCCAATAAGACTCTGGTGAATTCTTGTCTCATTTTGGTTGAATAAAAGTAGTTTTTAAGTGGCAGATATACCACGCATATTCAGGACGAGAACACATTAACACTATAACGATTATGCAATGTGGATCAACAGGGATAACAAGTGACCCCTAAAAGAGTAGGATACGGGACAGAAACCCAGGGATAACAGGTAACCCCTAAAAGAGTAGGATACGGGACAGAAAGCCATGGATAACAGGTGACCCCTAGAAAAGTAGGATACGAAACAGAAAGCCAGGGATAACTAGTGACCCCTAGAAAAGTAGGATACGAGACAGAAACCCAGGGATAACAGGTAACCCCTAAAAGAGTAGGATACGGGACAGAAAGCCATGGATAACAGGTGACCCCTAGAAAAGTAGGATACGAGACAGAAAGCCAGGGATAACTAGTGACCCCTAGAAAAGTAGGATACGAGACAGAAACCGAGGGATAACAGGTGACCTATAAAAGAGTAGGATACGGGACAGAAAGCCAGGGATAACAGGTGACCCCTAAAAGTAGTAGGATACGGGACAGAAAGCCAGGGATAACAGGTGACCCTTTAAAGAGTAGGATACGGGACAGAAAGCCAGGGATAACAGGTGACCCCTAAAAGAGTCGGATACGGGACAGAAAACCAGGGATATCAGGTGACCCCTAAAAGAGTAGGATACGGGACAGAAAGCCAGGGATAACAGGTAACCCTTTAAAGAGTAGGATACGGGACAGAAAGCCAGGGATAACAGGTGACCCCTAAAAGAGTAGGATACGGGACAGAAAGCCAGGGATAACAGGTGACCCCTAAAAGAGTAGGATACGGGACAGAAAGCCAGGGATAACAGGTGACCCCTAAAAGAGTAGGATACGGGACAGAAAGCCAGGGATAACAGGTGACCCCTCAAAGAGTAGGATACGGGACAGAAATCCAGGGATAACAGGTGACCCCTAAAAGAGTAGGATACGGGACAGAAACCCAGGGATAACAGGTGACCCTTTAAAGAGTAGGATACGGGACAGAAACCCAGGGATAACAGGTGACCCATAAAAGAGTAGGATACGGAACAGAAAGCCAGGGATAACAGGTGACCCCTAAAAGAGTAGGATACGGGACAGAAAGCCAGGGATAACAGGTGACCCCTAAAAGAGTAGGATACGGGACAGAAAACCAGGGATAACAGGTGACCCCTAAAAGAGAAGGATACGGGACAGAAACCCAGGGATAACAGGTAACCCTTTAAAGAGTAGGATACGGGACAGAAAGCCAGGGATAACAGGTGACCCCTAAAAGAGTAGGATACGGGACAGAAAGCCAGGGATAACAGGTGACCCCTAAAAGAGTAGGATACGGGATAGAAAGCCAGGGATAACAGGTGACCCCTAAAAGAGTAGGATACGGGATAGAAATCCAGGGATAACAGGTGACCCTTTAAAGAGTAGGATACGGGACAGAAAGCCAGGGATAACAGGTGACCCCTAAAAGTAGTAGTAGGATACGGGACAGAAACCCAGGGGTAGAGCGTAATAAAAATTACAAGTCGAAAAAAAAAACGACTGAACGAAAAACGACCAAAGACAATCTACATTTCACAAAATACAACACTATAACTAGATATTTAGCAACACGGTAGTTATACATCCCATATGCACTTAAACATCCAGCATCTATTGTTTGTATAAAACACTGCGAACTACTTCATGTCACTGGTCGTATTATATTATTTTCATTAAAATGCATGTCGAAAATCTTCAGATATCACTCATGCATGGTTTAAACAAACGTTAGAAGTGTCACGTGCTGTTTCCATGATCGCATGTCTACGTTTTTATATGTAATATTTTAAAAATTTATAAAAACATTAATATATTTCCAATGAGACAACTTATCACCACAGACAAAATGACGTAGAAGTTAATTTGTTTTTTTCTTTTCTTCTTCATATGGATATATGACATTTTATCTTATGAATAAAGCAATTTCAAGATGCTATGTCCTTACTCAATCATGATATAATTCAAAATAATATAGAAATAAAGGCAAATATCAATAAAGACCAAAGAACAAACATGTAAACAATTATAGCCCATACTGTATAGTAGGCTTATTCATCAACACCAGACCAAATTGTGGCTGTTTCTTCCTTTATCGAACAATCTTTAGAACAGATAGATCATTAACAGTGTTAATTATTGTCCTATTGAAATATATGTGATTGTTATTGCTTGTTGGAATGTTTATCCTTGTTATGCTT